AGTATGAATTTTTGATGAGATTTTTGAAAGTTTTTAAAAGTGATCCAATTAACTGTTCCTGCTTATGTGAAAGTCAGCCATTTGGCTGACCTTTGTCGTTGTTTATTCAATGCATGAGAAGATATTTATTGAATGTCTGCTAGATGCTAGGTGCTAGGTATTGGAGATACACATAGGAATTGATAGTCTAGTGGACAGACAGACATATGGGCAAACAATTATGGAATGAGGTGGATAGTGTGCAGTTGAAGGGACTTAGATTAGACCAAGGAATACTGCCCCCAACTCTCCTCTTAGCCATTATAATCTACGGGTTTGGTGACTCTAATGTGACTGGCGTAGGGGGTGGCTAGAGGAGATGAAAACATTTCTGAATGACCTAGGATTCTACAATCCTCTTATTTTATGGAAATTACTGGAAGCATGCCCAGCACATGGAAGATGTAGGGCTGATCCTGCATATTAACATAGCTTGCAAGTCATAGGTTTTTCCCTAATCTTGGTTTCTCATGGTAAAGTGGCTGGTTGTCCATTGCCAGATCACTATATTAAGAGGTTGTCATTTAAATGCTTTTCTCTGTTCTGTGATTACAGGCTGTATCCCCACTATTAGAAACTTGTCCTCCCATTTTGCAAAAGGCATAATGTGTAAAAGGGGCTGGCTTGGTGCAGATTCATTGTTTACTTTCTAGAGTCCCTTGAAATGAAAATGCTAAGTAGTCCACTAATGACTGAGGTTGAAATTAATCACTCTACATCCAGAGGTCAATCATATTGCCTTGTAGTATAAAAGGAAACATAATTATCATAAGCTTATGCTGTCTTAAGGTCCAGAAAAAGAAGGGCTAAGTGTATACTTTCCTTCCTGCCTGAGCTTAAAACATTTTTCAAAATTAAGTAACAGGTTGTAAAAAAGTAGCTTTTCTCAGGACCATATGGTTCATTAGCACCATATGGTGCACCTGTTCCAGACATTTCTTCAGTCCTGTGCTCCTGCCTGTTTAAAATGTGAACGATTGCCTCTCCTTCCCTGCCTCCAAAACACTTAGGGTAGTTCCTGGCACACTGTGTCCGTCAATACCTCCTTTACAAGCAGGGCTGATTTGGGAATTGTTCTGTAATTGGAAGTCAGTCTCACTGGGCAAGTGTACATCTTAAGCCCTTCACAGTGGCCTACCAGCCTCATTAAACTACAGAAATATAAAGCAATGAGTTGGGAGCATTTGCAAAATGAATGCATGTTAGTAATCTGGGTAGTTACGGAGACCTTCTCACTCAGACTTCACTGCTTGGATATACTGATTTTACCAATGGAATATAAAAAAAATCAAAGAAAATTCTCCATACCCCATGGCTACAATTTATTCTTTGCTGGGACTGTAAGGCCTCCGCAGGCCCAGAGAATTTGTTTGGAACCATAGTTTCTGGATTGGTGAGAGAAATGCCATTTCTGGTTCCCTCTCCTTTTGCAAACCGATGGAAAATGAGAATAAGCAGCAGAAAAGCAAACTTTCATTTTCATTAAAAGTAGGAAATACTCATATCTGGACCCACAATACTGTGTTTAAAAAAGGGCTTTCAGGGGCGCCTGGATGGCTCAGTTGGTTAAGCGTCCAGCTTTGGCTTAGGTCATGATCTCACCGCTCATGAGTTCAAGCCCCACATAGGGCTTTGTGCTGTCAGCTCAGGGCCTGGAGCCTGCTTTGGATTCTGTCTCCCTCTCTCTCTGCCCCTCCCCCACTTGCTCACGCTCTCTCTCTCTCTCTCTCTCTCTGTCTCTCTCTCCTCAAATATAAATAAAAACATTTGAAAAAAAGGGCTTTCAGATTAGTGAAAGCTGCATTGGTGTCAAGATAGACACAGAGAGAAGTCTGGGGACTTCAAATTTCATGGGCAGACTAGACAGAGTGTAGAATTCTTCAAAATAGATGTCACAGCCTTGTCTTGAAAGAAGCTCAGGGTGCATAGATTCACAGCACCCTGACAACAATTGAATGAACATATAGGAAGCATACAAATGTCCCAACTTTGCCATCTTAGAGGACTATGGGTAGGTCAGTGTAGGACAAATCAGGAGGAACAAACAGCCCTCTAGCTTTTATGTTTGCCAAAGAAAAGTGGAGACATCACCATGTACCAAAAATTCCATGAAGTGGTTTCACTGGGAGGATGGAAACTTTCAACCATTCCCGAGCCATTCAACATGGACAGGGGATTGATAAGGTTTCTGGATGCAACAGGTCCAAAGTGGTCACCAACTTGTTCGTCTTGTCCGTACCCTTACTATTCTTTCTCATATGACGCAGGAATAATATGCCCTCCTCAGTTCAAGGATGGAAAGTATTAAAAAAGAAATCCGCATGAGATTTATGTGAACATGTAGCATTTGACAAGAAATATCACACCTACACACAGAGGTAGATGAATAAAACACATTGGAAAGATTATATCACAAAGCAGGTAAAAGTCAAGACAACATATTTCTCCAAGAAGCAATCTGGCAACATATACTAACACCAAATATATGTGGCACTTTAGTGGACCTAGAAAACCATCTTATAGAATTGCACTGTCTAATATGGTAGCTACTAATAATTGAATTGTGGAACTATTTCATATGTGGAACTGAGGAACTAAAATTTTACTTTAACAACTGATACTCATTTCAGTTATTGGAAAGCTTTTGAGTGTGTTTGGAACAATTTGGGTGTATGCATTTCCTTTTCAACTGTAAATTATATGGAATCCAAATACAGACCGAGTATTGCCAATAAAAATATAGTGTCTTAGTGTATGCTCTAGGTATAAAATATATACTAGATTTGAAAGGCTTATTTCAATAAAAAGAATATAAAATAATTCATTAAAATGATAATATCATGGATATATTGGATCAAATACATTATTAAAATTAATCTTACCAGTTTCTTTGTACATTTTTAAAGTGGTCACTAGAAAATTTTATATCACATGTGACTTCCATTATACTTCTGTCAGATAGCACTGCTATAGAATAAAATCACTAATATGCAAAGTAAGTGGGCAGATACGATTCAAGTAGTCCTCAAACAAAACCAAACCCCCAAAGTGGATCCTTGTCCTGAACGGAGTGGTTAATGCAGATACATAATATGTCATGGAGTATTATGATGCCTTTGAAAAAAATTATTAAAGTTTTGCCAGTGGACTTGAATATTCACAAAGTATTATTATAGAAGAAAAGTAAACTATAGAGAAATGTGAGTAGCTCCAGTATGGTAAAATCCTCAATGATAGATATGTTTATAAAATATGATCCGAACGTGAAAGGAAAGTACAGAAAGGTATATATCAGGTTATCTAACTAGGGTTACCCATGTGTGGTAGGCCAGAGACAGGGAAAAGGAGGGAAGGAGAAAGAAAAGATATTTAACTCTCTCTCTTTCTCACAGACACCACACACACACACACACACACACACACACACACACACACACGTGGGAAGGGAAGGCTAGAGCTAGAACTATATATAATAACTTGGTAGGAATGTCCAAGGTATATTGCCAAGTGAAAAGAAGTTGAAGGTGATATGTAAGTAGACTCATTCTAGCTATGTAGAAGCAACAACTCCTCAACACTCTTATGTGTGTTTGAAGAAAGGTCTGTGTGTGTTTGTCCCTTTTTATTACAAATGGGTATTACATTCTGCACTTGAAAAAAGAAGACTTGAAAAAACAGGACAGTGAGGATTAAGTTTTCCTTGAAATAAAAGAGTGTGGAGAAGAGCCATCAACATCCAAAGAACGATAATGGCAACAGGCGGACTTTGCAAATTAGTTGGTCAGAGAGGCACGCTAGAAACAACAAATCTCTTTGAGAAGGAATAAGAAGAGAGTGTCAGGAATAAAACAACATAGGAAAATACAAAGAATTAAAATGAGGTAAAAAAGAGTTAGAAAAACAATAGTCATAGTAGACCAGAGAGAACCAACATATGAATAACTGGCACCCTTGACGTACTACATCACGGGGTTTTATGAAGGGTGACACAAAAAACACAGAGAGCAGAGGGAAAAGTCATGCAAATATGTTTTCCTAAAATAAAGTCTAAATTTTGCAAGGGCACATGAGTTCCAAGAATAATTTGATACAAATGATCAATAGTTAGAAATATCCTAGTATATTATACTTGAGATAAAGAGTCTTTTCAGGGCACCTGGGTGGTTCAGTAGGTTAAGTGTGTGACTTTCTCTCAGGTCTTGGAGCCTGGAGCCTGCTTCAGATTCTGTGTCTCCCTCTCTCTCTATCCCCTGCCCCCCTCACACTCTCTCTCTTTCTCTGTCAAAAATAAATAAACATTAAAAAAAATTTAAGAATCCTTTGGGTATTTAATTTCATCCTTTACCACCACCGCCACACACACACACACACACACACACACGCCCCAAGGTATTTACATATATATTTCAAAAAGTTGTGCATGAACAAGAAAGAAAGCATAAATAAAATAAATTACTTCAGGTATTCCCAAACCTTTTCCCACATTTTTTCTTACTTGTGAATCACCTTTTGGCTCAGTCATTGGTATTTGTGTTTCCTCACACAATGTGGTCTTTGAGCTATTAAGAGAATTGGCAATGAGCATTTCATTAAAGAGCACCCTGCCATTGACTCTGGATTCTTCTTCTGACACATATCAAATCTCAGAACCCATTAAGGTTCTTCTTTGATACTCAGTAAGCAACTTTGATGCTGATTCTTTCCTGGTTAATGGAAGTATTGGTGGAAGGGTTTCAATAACCAGGAATTATTCCTCTTCTCAAATGGTCCTTAAGTGGCCTTTTGAATGAAAAGTAGTGCCATTTTCCTGTGTTGTCACCAGAAACATAACCAAATTTATGCATGAGTAGGCTTTCAGTTACACTCTATAACATGTTGACACATTGAAGGGAAACATGGAAATCATGCATCCACATAGTATATCATGTTGTTTCTTCAAAATACTCACTAT